CAATTTGCACTATTTCTGGCAGTCTGCAACCCCCATTAGAGATCCATTTTATCCCCGAGCCTTCTTTCTTTCTACCGAAAACTCCTACTCTTTTAAATTCGTCGGGCCCGGATCTGACCTCCTGGACAGACCTTCGGATCTGAAGCAAGAATGTGAATGCCTGGGATCCCTTCATCGCCTGGAAAATGGACTGTTGGGTTGTCAAGGTACAAAAATTTAAGTAACAAACTAGTGAAGGACTGGTGAGTAAAAAAATAATAGAATAGAATAAATCAAACGTTATAGTTATATAACAGTTGCTGTGTGCCTTCAAGTCGTCTCAGATTCATGGCGACCCCAAGGCGATCCTATTACTGAGTTTTCTTGGCAAGATTTGTACAGGGTTTGTGTGTGTTTGTGTGTGTCTTCTTCTGAGGCTGAGAGAATGTGACTTGCCTAAGGTCACCAAGGGGGCTTCCATGGCTGAGCGGGGATTCGAACCTTGGACTCCAGAGTTATAATCCGACGCTCACAGTACTACACCACATTGGCTCTCAAAGGGGGGTTGCAGACTGCCAGAAAAAGTGCAAATTCAGTCCACTTTTAGGGTTAGGGTTAGGGAATCATGGGAACTGTAGTTTATTGTGGCACTAGAGCTCTCTGACAGAGAAGGCTCAATGTCTCAGAAAAAAAAAACAAAACAATCCCCATGATTCCCTAGCTCTAACCCTACCCCTAAAAGTGGACTGAATTTGCACTATTTCTGACAGTCTGCAACCCCCCAAAAAAGACGGTTGTTATTGTTGTGTGCCTTCAAGTCGTTTCTGATATATGGAAACCGGGCTTTCCTGGCAAGATTTGCTCAGAGAAGGTTTGCCGTTGCCTTCCTCTGAGGCTGAGAGAGTGTGGCTTGCCCAAGGTCACCCAATGGGTTTACATGGCCGAGAAAAACCTTGTCTACAGGAGGAGTGGATAGTGATTGCAAGCCTGGCCGTCCAGGATTTCTGACTCCTATTTTTTAACACATCCACATACACACATATAATACACCTGTACTACTCCGAACTACAGAGAAAGAAATCAGAAGTGAGTTTTTTATATGGAAGAGTTCTTATCCCGGAATAAAGATAGGGAGGACCGAGTCTCACAGATCTTACAGCTGGATTCCCTGCCGCGTAAATACAGTAAGGAAAGTGTTGAGAACCACCAGATTTCAGAGGGATGTAAATTCATAGCCTATGTGATTTGGAGTATTTTTTTGGGGGGGGGGGAGAGACCGCCAATCTGTTTCATTGGGATCCAACGTTGAAAAAGGAGCAACTTCCACTGCCATGCAAGGAATAATCTCCCAACGAAGGTAGTTCAACATCTTTGCGGGGAAATATTCATTTTTCAATCTAGGTTGGAAGCATACCATGCTAATATGCTAATATTCTTGGGTAAAAAATTATAGTGGTGCCAGTATGGAATCTGTATTTGCATGCATATATATATCGCTCGATCTATATTAAGAATACCTCCCGAGTAGTTCACGGTGAAAACTCTACATTTTATACTCAAGATATGTGAGCACCACTACAGTAGTCTGAACATTGGTCTCCAACTCTGAAGATCAGGGTTGGATTCCTGGTTGAGCCATGAAAACCCACTGAGGGCCTTTGCAGACTGCCAGAAATAGTGCACATTAAATTGAGGCACTGCCCTGGCTCAGTGCTAGGGAATCATGGGAACTGTAATTTATTGTGGCACCAGAGCTCTCTGACAGAGAAGGCTCAATGTCTCAGAAAAAAAAAATTCCCATGATTCCCTAGGACTGAGCCAGGGCAGTGCCTCAATTTAATGTGCACTATTTTTGGCAGTCTGCAAAGGCCCTGAGTGACCTTGGGCAAGTCACACTCTCTCAGCCTCAGAGGACGCTGA